TTTTTTTTAAATTTTTAACAAAAGTTTTAAACATTTTGAGATACTTAGTTCAGATACTTTTCAATTTAATGCGACTGAAAGAGAACCTAATTTGGTATTTAAAATATTTATATGCTCAGTTCATTAATTTTTATGTTTTTGAAATTTAATACAACCGCAAGGGAACTCACAATTGTATTTTGAATATCTAGAAATAAAACATAAAAAATTAAATTCGTTTGAAAGTTTTTGGAATTTATAAATATATTAATCGAATGAATTTTTTTTAATAACAAAAAAAATCTTTCATAAGGTAATAGAATAGAAAAAAATTAAATAATTTAGTCAGCAAATTTTAAAAGATAATACATATTAAAGTAATAATTTTACAAAAACAATACAATATATATATAATTTTTTAAAAATTAATATAATGGTAATTCCTAGGTTTTAAAAAAATATTTGTCAAATTAGAAAGGGTATTTAAATACCCTGTTCTAATAGACCTTTTATTTTTAGCTTCTGGAATTCGATTTTTTTTTCTACGAGAAAGATAGGGGACAACTTTTTCGTGCCGAGTTTTTAGCAAACTCATTTATGTAGTTTTCGCTTCATGTTTACTTAAAGTTCAACTCGAGTGTTGTTTTTACAAATTGTTATCCACTGTGTGTCGGTTTGGATGTGTCAATGTGTGCGTGGTTGTGCGGGTGTGTGGCAGACGAAAATAGAAGCAGACAGTTTGGAAGTCACTGCGGCAGTTTCAGTTCAGGAGTCAGTCCAATTTCAGTGTCGGTTTTCGGCTTTGGTGTTGACCTTAGTTTTCTTTTTCGTTTTCGTTCTGCTCTTTCCTGCATACACTTCTGTGTGAATGTTGGTCCATGATAGTTTCAGTTTAGATTAGTAAACATTTCTAATTAATGTTGAAAAAGCGTACAATTTTCTCAGCTTGTAGGGGAGACTCAAAAAATTCAAGGAATTGGATTTGTTACATGGAGAATCCTAATTGGTAAAATTCTATTGTTACATATTTAAATATATTTAACCATAATAAAGTAGGTGGATTTACTGTACTCTTATACAATATTGCGTATAGGATGGCTTCCTGAAATTCTATCATTTTCTAATGAGAACGTTAAGAAAACAAACACCATTCAACCGTCAAACTTCTCTAATTAATTTCAGTTATAAAAATAATTACAAGCAAAGACCTTGCATTAATGACTTTAGACACTCTATTAAAAATTTGTATCATATAAACCTTAATACTCTGCCCCTCAACTACTATTGATGATTTTTATCACAGCGTTTTCTTATGACTATAACTTATGTTACCGCTTACGTAATCCAGCCAAGAAACCCATCAAACTTGATTCACTCTTGGTTAAAATAGAAAAGATAGCTTATATTGTTGGTGTCAACAGTTTAGCAAGTGGACCCCTGAGGAGGACCCTCATCAGTGTTGTTTATAAACTTATTTATGCGTTGTCTTTCATTCCTTATTGATTCTCATATATCGTAGATCGAGCAGTTGATTAATTTAATTAATCAAAAACACATTAACGGCACGAACCATCCCGGATAAAATCGAATCAACTCGCGGGCAATCATTATAGAAACACACAAAGGAGAAGTGTAGAGGAAGCCAATTCGTTCAATGAACTTCTGTATCACGTCAAAAAAAAAGCAAATCAAATCAAATCGAATCGAATCTAGCTAATTATTATGCTAATTATCGTACAACTTAAGTGTTCACTTGTTGCACATTCTAGACCCTTTTTAGACCATGGAAAGTTAGCTTAGAAAGTTGCCAATAAAAACCATTGGCCAATGACCCAAAAACAGGCCAAGAAAAGAGAAGAAATTCCGTGAGCTGGCACTGGAAAAACATATCTTCTTACTTCTTTCTCTTTTTTACTGACATTTACAGCTTGGACAAAAATTGCAGCGGCAGCATCAGCAAAAGAACAGGGCAGTGGAAAAAGCTGCAGACAGACACATGGAGATAATGTCTTTGCATGTTTTGTGCCATTGCAAATCTCGGCGGAGCCGAAAAAAGAAGTAAACTCTACAACCAGGAAGCCACAGCCAGAAGGCCCAGATGTTCAGGCCGGGACAGAGAGTGGGGTTTGGAGTTCCCAACCAGTTAAAAGTCGAGACAGAAGAAGGAGGGGGTGCACAGCATTTCGCGGCGGTATCTTTTGGCCATTCAAGTGTGTGTTTGCATCGTTGTTCTAGGCCAGTTTACAGAACTTTTGAGATATTGAAGCTGCACGATGGAAAAACTGAGAATAAAAACCCTCACGATGCAGCAAACGAATACAAAATACTTAAAGTTGATAGTCCAATAAAAACTTTACAATTTAACTATTTAAAACTAACTATGTTGTTTTTGTAATTCAACAAAACGTACTCTATGTAGATCTTTAAAAATAAATTGTAACAATGTCTTGTAGTTCCCTTTTACATACTTTAAGTACCCTTCTAAATTTAACTACACTTAATGGTCTTGCCACTTTATTCAGTTAGTAGTGTATCATCAAAGAAATCCCAGCGAATCGCTTCAATTTATTGCCATCGATTGTAATTATTCAAATGGCTGTGGTAAAAGTTTTTGTTCCATTTTTCTTTTTCACGTTCCACGTCTCTCTCTTTTTTATACCCATTTCCATTTTCAGCTTCTTGTTCTTGCTGTAGCAAGTTTTTCCAGTTCACTTGGAAAACTATGCAAATTGTTTTCGGAACTTTGCGGCAAATGAGATGGATGGCAAATTGCTTGGTGTAATAGCCACAGTTAGAAAGACATTGCACAATTGAATGTACATTGAGGTACGTTTTGGTTTAATAATAAATATAAATTGACATCATTGATCATCAATTAAAAGATTTTCTATGTGAAATGGTCGTTGATTTTAGTATAAAAGATTTGATTTTCGATTTATTGTCAAGTTCTTATATTCATATGTTTACAATTATTTAATTTGATAAGCTTTAGTAATGATTTCTTTGTCTTGAATGGTATAAATATTTTTCCAATTTCGGTCCACCTTTCTTGCACCTAAAGCAAAATATTAATACATCAGTTAATTTTTTCTAAGTTTAAAACTTAATGAAATGTTTAATGTTATCAAGAAAAACGTTTAATTTAATTAACTATATTGCCTGATATAGTTGATTTTTTTCAATATTCAACAGTTTATTTAGTAGATATTTAATTCATGACGAATTGAAAATTGTGGATAGAAATTATAGAATTAGTAAAACCTGCCAGTAAAAAAAAAAACTGCCGGATATAATACATGAGGTGAAAAGACTTAGCACCTCAAACGTGACATCATAATTTTATGATTCTTAAGAATGGTCAACGCCAATCGACACAAATTACTATTAAATGTGAATGAAAAGGTAAGCGGAAAAGGGAATTATAAAAAAAAAAGTAGAAAAACAGGCAATAAAGCAAAGTAAAGGCGGTGGATCACGATGGACATTGACCCAAGTGGAAAACTGAGACCCACTGATAATGGCACTTGGAAATAATAGTAATGCAAATAATGCTCGCATAAACAACAATTAAACTTAAACGCAAAGTGCGTAACAGTAGAGAAAGAGACAGAAAGCGGTAACAAGCAATGGTCAAAAGCAAGACATTGACCCAGGCTTTGAGCCGAGACACACACCAATGGTATATGGGCATCGAAAACAAAAGCAACATTGCTATTAGCATACCTAAAACACACACACAAACCAAGGTCAGGTTTGCAACATGTTGCCAAGCTCAATATTGAAAAGGCACGGAAAATAGCAATTGCATTGTTAAACTTAATTTATTCAGAAAGATATCAGTTTTTATATAATAAAGAACTAAGTTCAAATTCGATCCATGTTTTTTTATAATTCTGTATATAAATTTAAGTTTGAAATTGTTGATATATTCTTGTTTTTAAACAATTATTGTCTTCGTCAAACATTTCTGCATTTCATAAAAATGCCCTGATTAAAGTACAATTCCTTGTTAAAGGAAAAAATAAAAAAAAAAATCTTAATGTAATTGTTGCTTTTATTCTTAGTGCACTCTTTTAAAAACAAAAGATTTAAACTTCTAAATTTTCTGATCCTTTCAACACACTTTGGAAATATAAATTTTTTCAAAATTTAGTTTTATGTTGGCAAATTTTCAAGCAACACAAAATAGTAAAAGAAAACTGGAAGCCTTAGCAATGAAAACCAGTTGGCTTGATCTACATCTTTTCATTTTTCATACCCCATTGGCAGCATGTTGCCAAGCTACTAGTAAATCTGGCTTCGGCTTCCTCGGCGCAAAAAGATACGCTAAGGTCAAGAGTAGCACTTCGTGATGTTGCTGGTAGCATTTACAACAATATGACTATGGCCACACATACGTGTTAATGGCTTTGTGGAAAAAATACAACACACCAACGCGAATGCCGGAAAACTTTGGCTAAGTCCGAAAACCACTTAAAAAAGGTCAGACAAAAGTCGCAACACACACACATTTTCCTCCTCAATATTTGCAACTATAGAAATGAGAGAAGAAGCTGAAAATCATTCCCGCATCCCAAAATGGTTGCTTCTTCTTGGCCAGAAATAATGGAACTTCACCGCCCACTTTGTCAGACTCTTACAACGCCTCCAATTTCCTATGATTTGCCCAAATTCCTATTTATTGCTCTCTTTAAAATAATAATCATAACTTGTTAGTCTTTACGCTACTCTTCTCACAATTTTTCTACTTACTTGTCTGTTTACTATTAATAAATATTAAATATTTTATCTTTTAAGTATGTAAATAAGACTTAATCTTTTAATAATTTAATCGTTATAAATATATTCGCTTTTTTAATTAAATTAGTTATATTATTATCGTTTAAATGTATAAAATCGTCTCTATTACGTAAAATTTAGTTTTATAAATCACTATAAATTTATAGCTTTTTTAAAAAACTAAATTATTACATTTTTAATAAAATAAATAAATGTTATCCATAAGAAAATATTCCATTTCAACCACTACTAATATTCTTAAAAATCTAAAACGTGTTGCTTTTTTGATTAAAAATATATATTGTTCTCTTTTTAGGGCATCCAATATTGTTCATAACGAAATAGATTTCTATTTTATCCACCACTTATTTTTCACATCAAATTTTTGTTCATGTTCTAAGCTGATTGGGTTTAACGGTGGGTGATTGTTATTTTTGTTGTCGGGTGTTAAGTTCTTATTGCTGACGGATGCTTGTAGTTATTTTTCCTTTACTTGTGGCTGCCTTTTTCACGAATTATCGTCATTATCATCATCATTGCGAGAGATGATTACCCGAATGCCGCCAACTATTATGGATGATGTAAGTGCAAAAAGCCATTGAACGCTTATTATTTTTCTACCTCTTCTTTTTTAACCAGGTTTTTTTCCCCAACTTTACTTAACCAATCAAATGCGGAGCAATAAACTTTGAGCAGAATGTGGCTAGACTTTGAATACCTAGCGAGAATCTTTCACTTTGGCTTGGCTTTCGATCTTAAATGTTAAATTCAGCTAAGCAGCTTAAGACCATTTCGCTGCGAAAAGTTTGTGGTTATCCTTGAACGAAAACACTTTCATTGACTCCTCGTTGTGGCTGCCAAAATACATTGGATGTTTGGGTGTGGGAGTAAACCAGCAGCCAAACAGAAAGGACACTTCATTTTCCACCAGCCCGAATTTCCACTACTTTTCATCTGCAGTTAGTGGCTTGGAAGTTACTTGGCTGCATTTTCTGTTTAGCTGCGTTTAGCTTACCAAGTACTTTTGGCACTTAACCAAGGTTAAGTAAGACTTTCCCCCAAGTCACAGAAAACAAAACCCAAATAAGTGATAAAGAGCACATAAAATAGGAGCGTGGGTTGCTTAAGATTCAATTCAAGGCCTTCTAGCAAAAGTCGTTAAAGTGGCGGACAACTATCTTTGGAGATTGCAAAAACTGAACTCTTAAAAATTTTGCAATATACTTCAAACTTAAGGTGATTACTGGTTATGTGGAAAAGATATGGGATATATGTAGGGCAGAGCTTTTACTGAGAAATATCATTTACATTTAAAATTTACTTCTCCTTAAAAAATTTCTCATTTTTAAATTGATATTTTCTATATATAAATGACTTCTTAGCTTTGCAGGATCTTCATTCAGAATGCTCCTATATTTAAGCACTTTTCCGGCTTCATAAATAGCCAGCAAAGAAAGAGACCGACTGAATCAGGCAGAAAGAGACATGAAGCAAGCAAGCGGGATAAATAGAAAGAGACAGGGAGTTCAACATATATTCAACGAGCAAAGTGCGCAAACAAAAACAAACAAATGAAATTGAAAACGTTACGCATGCGCCGCTTTTCCGACCAAACTTGACTTTGTGGGGCTTTCCCTGGAAATCCGCATATACAATGATTTGGTATTGCAGCTGCTATTTCTGTCGCACGACTTTCAAACCTATCGAATATCAAAGCGAGGCAGCAAGAGAGATAGCAACACAACTTGGAAGCTGCAAATGAAAATCGCAATTGGAAACGTGAGGTTGAGATGCAGTTCCCTCCTCAGCACTCAACCCACCCAACCCATCCAAATGCACATCCACGCATCTTTTCCGTTCAGTGAGCATCTCACCCATCTCAGCCGATGAAATTGAATCTGCTCCGGCTGCAAGGCAATAAAAGTGGGCGTCTGACCAGAGAGATGCGTCACAAGTCGGTCGACAGCCAGCGCACTCATAAGTTATGGAGCCATGGATCTGGATATCCTGAATCAGCACTCCTCATCCAACTTTCTCAGGATCGCCATTTGGGGCACATGGAGCCTGCTGCTGGTATCGAATTTCGCAGGCTGTCAGGCCGTTCCGGGCGGAAGCAGCGGAGAACGGTAAGAATTTATTGGAGCATTTTTTTTTTTTTTTTTTAATATATTTTTGGTAATGTTATGTCAACCGACACAGAAATAAAATCTAATTTTATGTACTTTCCCGCTTTAGAAGAGTTCCATACAAATTTATGTCCCAACATACGAAAAAATTAATAAATAAAAATTTTTTTATTCGTTTTTGCTAAAAAGAAAAACAGCAATGCACAAAGAAATTTAACCATGTCTTTGAAATAAACCGTCAATGTTGAGTTTCTGATTCTACACAATTTTTCCTATCCTTAAGCTTATTTTTCCACCAAACGTTGTGTATTTCAGCGCAAGTCAAAACATATTTTTCAAAAAGTTCTGAAAGTGATATATAAGGTCTTAATGAACCTTGTCATTCCTTTTAGTGTCCATATCCGACTCCACATGCCGGAGGTGGTGCGTCAGCATACGCATTTCCACAACGTCTACAAGTTGCCGCGGCAAACACACCCGGTTCCCGTACCGCCACCCACAACGATCGCAACGATACATCCGAAATTTGCGGGAAAACCTCACGTTCAACTTTTGGGTTATACAACGGCAGTTGGGAGTACCGGACCAATGGCTCCCAATCTAATGCAACTGATGGGCACGGCAGCCACACCCACTCTCATGCCTACGCCCAGCAATATGGCGCCCAACTATGGACCAGCTTTATTCGATAATTACAATCAGGAGTTGGCTTTAAGCGCAACAACCACCACAACGACGATGAGACCTCAGATTTTAAAAACCTCTAAGCAGCAACAACAATTGTTGCAACAAATTTTCACACCTGAAAAACCTGAAGAGGAAGATAATTCTGTGGAGGATAATCGATTGGAGAGTAATTCTTTACTAAACAATGATTTTCTAGAGGCTCTGCAAAGGGAATATCTCTCAAGATTCGGTGGTCGTCGAAAGCGGAAGAAATCCAGTTCAAAAATTAGGAATTCAAACAAGGAATATTCGAATTACTTTAAGAGTAAACCGTACTATTATCAAGATGAAGATCTGTCGGAGAACTTTGAAGACTACCAGGATGAACAGCCACAGCAGCACGAGGATTACGAAGAAGTGATGGTAATGAGTACGCCCAATAAATATGGTGGTTATTATGCTACAGGATCGGAGGAAATGGATCAGGACCATGCGCAGGGCTATGATAGTGCTGTGGCTTTTAGCGGCCAGGATAATAGCATTTCATCATCCATACCAACAATGGAAGACTTTCTCGATGATGCTAATAATCCAGTGTCTAGTTATGGGGGAAACTATGATCCCTATGGCAACTCGAATGATATGTTTTCCCAATCCTGGCAGCCTTCTTCCACCAGCGCCACAATAAACAACAGTTGGTCGAGACCCACCGCCAATTCGTATACCAATTCCTCAAAGAAGCCAAAATCAAGGCCCATTAGATCCAGAGGTCGAACTAAAGTTCGATATGTCAAGTTAGTTACGAGAAAGAAACGCAAAAACCACATTTGCACCAAAAGGTATCGACCATAATTTAAAATTGCAACTGTTTAAAGGGTTTAAAGTTTCTCTTCTGTAGTTTTTGTAATTAAATATGTTATTTATTTATAATAAGTCCAAAAATGCTTTCTTGTTACTATTGAAATTGATTTGGTATTAAACGACAATATATAATAAATATTTTTTTAATCACAGTTAATTGATTTTAATTTAAAACTATTTATGTCTTACCCATTTTAATTGATTAATCTTAAGTATCATCAAGCGTTTTTTAAGCCCTTACCTGTAATAAAAGAAAATAAAAGGATTTTTAATAAAATACAATGTAAGGGTGTATAATTTAAGCAAGTTTAAAGTAGTGTAATAATGTTTTACCATCATAAAATAGACTAGCCAAGTTAATTATATCTGTGTAACAGATACTTTTATACAAAGACTCCTTGCAGAGGCTTCTTTGATTCGCGTTCTGCGGGTTTTCCGACTAAAACAAACTCTCATTAGATGCACACACAAGCCGTAATAGAAACGAAACAAGGGAGAAAGTAAAATAAATGGAAGTGGAGAAACTACCCCACAAACAGCAGCCAGAAACCGATCTACCATCCCCGGCTCCATTTTCCTACCCGAAGCCGAATGCAAATAAAGAATACAATTAAATGGACATTTGAGAGGCAAAAAGGGGATTCGAGCTGAGCAAATAATAAGTACAAATGCTAATAAAATTCAATTAAAGACCACAAAATTACAATAAAAGCGGGCCCACGAAGGAAACTAACTCTGCTTTTGGACAAAGTTGGGGTATGCCCACGAGAAGTCAAAATTAACGACTCATTTTGCCAAATTGAAGTCATAAACTAGAAGAGCAATGCAGGAAGGGAATAGTCAGGGTGACCCTTCTTTGTCATCCAAGGAAATATATAAGGGAATAAGAAAACCAGTTATTCTACTTAATACATATTTGTTATAAAATTAATAAATGAAAAACTAAAAACCATTTTTAGAATCGTATTAATTTGAAAATGTAAAATTTAAATATAACGCTAAAAATAATAAAAATCGACAACTAATATTCTTAAAACCGTAACTAATCTATAACTTTATTTGAATGTAAAGTTTATAAAACTATGTATCCTTCATTAACAGCTATTGTTTTTAAAATTGTAAGTGCAACTGTTACACTAAAATCTAAATACCCTTTTATAAAATATGCACTGGGAATTATACGTGGGTGTGGCGTATGATAAAAGCCAAAGTCTTTGTTTATTGGTGTCTGCCCTTTCCAGCTTTATTTCACATTCTTAATTTTCTGCTGGTCATATTTTAATTTTTATTTCATTTGGGATATAAAAAGGCGAGGAGCAAATAGAATGGGTGAAAGTGTAATGTAAAAACATTTTCTGCATACTTTGGAGAGCAACGAAATTAAACGCGTGTAAAGATTTTCATTTGTTGTTTGTGGCATAGCAGCAGTAAATAGAGGGGCTGACAAAAATAAGAGCAAGGATGTTTGCAGGACATTTTTGGCGGCCAGCGAAGCACATAAAGTGTTGATGTGCCAACCATATGACATTTATTGTTTAGTCGAGACGATGGCAAATGTCTTTCTATGCTTTTTTTGGGGTTTGTTTGTATAGAATGCGGGGGAGTGAAGATGAGGCGCCATGTTTATTACCCCCAACAGATGGCATTGAAAAGGAGTGAAAGGGGGGGGCGCGGCAACAAGTGGGGCAGATTTAACTCCCGTTTTGCTCCCACATCTCCGAGAGATTTATGGGGCGTGGGTCTCGGCCTGATGTCATAATATAAAAATATATTTGCTATTAAAGTCGTTCGCGTTGAGCCTGCGTAATGATCAATGACTCTGTTATATGTCCACGAATAAATCGTTGACAAAGGTCATTGAGAAAATATGGTAGAAAAAAATGTGGAAGTACAGTCTAAATAACGTTTCAAAAATGAGGACAAGGTTTAACATTTATTTTATTTAACATTTGTCTTATTTACATAAAAAAAGGGACTGTATATATTTTTCGCTATTACATTTAAAATACATTTTGTTTTTGACTTAAAAAATACAGAAAAACGTAGTCAGTTAGCATCTCTTACTGGTCGCTACTCATTTTTTTTTACAAATTGCCCTAACTTAAATCCCCTCAACAATAAACACACTTTTACGATGTTTTTTTTTGAAAAAACTTTTATTTGCCATTGAAGTAATTGATTTTCTCGAAATAATGGACAATACAGAGCCGTCAGAATGACCAATATTCTACAATATCCGATCCGTCTGCCCGAAATGACAACTTTATCTGAACACAAATACAAAGAATAAAAGAAAATTTTCCATTTCCTTTTTGGTTTTACTGAAAGCAACATAAAAATGGCACCACAGCACAGAAAAGTGGGAGTAAAATGTTTATATCTGGCCAACCCAGACCCAATTTAACAGTGAAATCAACATCAACTTTATTAGCTTAATAAAAGTTTTATATTTCCTTTTGGAATATGCCTCATAATAATCGCTTACAAGGAAAAATTAATTTTCCCATTCAGCTTCGCAAAATAATTTGGAAGGAAGTGGTAAAAATAAACAGATATAGCAGACATCATTAGCAGAGAACTACAAAGAAAATCATGTGTCATGGACAAAAAAAAAAAATACTTTTATGGCTTGGCTAATTTTAAGACAAATGACTAGAAAAGAAATCTTCTCTCTCCAAACAATTCATTAATTTAATTAATTTGTGGCAATTAAATATGGTTGCACAAGCGACAGCAGCAAGAGGGTGAAGTTTGGCCCAGTCATCATCCACTCAATGGTACAGTCATTTGTTAGATATAAGCAAACGCACCATATATATATATATATTCCGCTCGCATGTTCATCAATTCCCTGGAGAATCTATGTGGCGAGCTTTAGCACTTTTCTCCATTTGCTGGGTGCGGTCTAGGGACCGGAAAAACCCGCAGGACCGTGCTTAAATGGGTTAAGTGCTGGCGATAAACACATTGGCAGTGCAGGGAGAAAAAGGTGAAAAGGCAAGCAGTCAACACCCACTAAAACGAACCGTATGGCACAAAAACGTATTGTCATGCCACGCCCAATTCTCAACAATTTTTTCACAAAAATCAAGGTGATGTTGAAGATAAAAAGGGGTAAACTAAAAAAGGCAAATAAGGCAACTAAAACAATAAAAAAAATTATCGATAAAATTAAGAAGGGATTTTAATAATGAACTGCAGTTAAGATATCTTAAACACTTATCTCATTATATATCCAAAAAAATTCTTATTTGGAATCAACCAAACCCATTCAAATTTAAAAATAAAATAATCTTCTCAACTGTGTCTCTGTTTGCAATAACTTTAAACTTTAGTTCAATTTATTTAAAGTGCATTCGAATGAGATCACATTTTTTCATTGGTTAAGCGTGTTGGGAAATATACAACTATTACTCAGACTGACTTAATTTGCATTAAAGTCGAACGCCTCGCTGCCGACTTTTCCACCAAACAGATGCAATCCATGTAATCATCCGACAAACCGCTGGACAATCAAGCAATTTAATTAAAATGAAAAGTTCTCCCCAACGAGAACATGAGGAGATGAGTGGAGTGGGGGGTGGTGGAAAATGAAATACTCGGGGGCATTACGACAAATGTATTACAAAATGCTAATTAAATGCCAGAGAAAATTGGGCCAAGCCTCTCCTTGTAATGGAAACTAAGCTAATCACACCCCAAAGGGGAAAATGGTGAAAACTGGAGAAAGGAGGAGGGTCAATTCCATTGAGGATTGTGCATTGTAAAAATAAAAATTACAAATTCCTTTCGCTTATTTGTGACAATTAAGTGCAAATTACACATTCTGTGCCACACTTATAAGCTTTGTGCACACAACTGCACGCAATGTCATTCTAGATTAGTCAACAAGGGATATGTTTGAAATGGGACTAGTAATGTTTATAAGAATGAATAAAAAGACATTTTATCATATTTAATATAGGTAACTTATTTTTGTTTTTTATTTAATTTTAAGTTAAATACACAAACTTATTAAAATCTTTGCATTCCGCATTTAAAATTAAGTTTAATTATTTAACAAAACAATAAAAAACCAAAACTTATTATACAGTACTTATATCATATCTAAATCTTTTCAATTTCGCTTTTAAAATGAAGTTTGAGAATTTCCCCAATCTTCATTTTATTAAATGCAATATTCTTTCGAGATGCAATCTGTCTGGTTAACGAGACATCTGCATTCTTTAGAGGAAGCATTAAAGTTGACATTTTGATGATAACAATTAAAACAAATGAGTGTCGCCGCTGTGGTTTCATCACTAGAAACCTCAAAACATATGGAGAACTGCGGCATACCCATATATATAGCCTGATGATGATGACGAGAGGATGCTGGAGCAACGTCTGCTTGGCCGGAAAAATACAAATAAAATGTGAGTGCGTGTATGATGCAGTGACAGTTGCAACAACAGTTTGCTGATTATGATTATCGCTTTCAGAACCCTCGTATCCAAGTCCCCATTTCCTATTTTCTCCACCCCTATTAAGATTCATATAGTAGGATATCCCTCATGGTCTATCATATTTGGGCTTGGTTTCGCTCGGTCCGGACAGTTGTGATTACAACTTTTCTGTTTATGTTTTGAAATTGTGTCGCTCTACTGTATATAAGTGTGTGGTGGAATGAGTTTATGTCGGTTTTTGACAGTTATGATGGAGAATTGTGTGTGCGGCCAGAGGGCAAGGCACTTTAAATGAGTGCCGCACATAGAAGCAGTTGCAATCTCTAAAATTGAAATGCACTCAGGCGAAACACCGACAAACACAGAAGATCCTGAAATGATACTAAAGTAGCCGAATAACTGTGACAAAACGACAACATTTTACAAAATAAATATACCACACTAGTTTAACTTATTCAAAATGAAAATTTAATATTCAATTCAATATTTTAACCTGTGCTCTATGCTTGCCAATTTCAATAAGCCAAAACGAAAACACAATGTCAGCCCTGTCATTCTTTTATCTTATAAATATATCCCCTTTATACCAAAACATTCAATATATTGTTCTCTCGCAGTGTCAATGCATTTTCAACTTATCATCCAAGCTGACAACTCTTGACCCCTGACATTTCCAACAGCACGTAGACCCACCACCCAATTCAGCCCCAAACCTCAATTTCCAAGAACCTTGAAGTATTGTTTACGCAAAACCGATGGGGTTAAAGTTTTGCTACAAGAAAA